TGGATACATGGATAGATGGATGGATGGATGGATGGATGGATGGATGGATGGATAGATGGATGGATGGATGGATGGATGGATGGATGGATGGTAGCTGAGAGTTACTTGCAGCGATTGAGTTCACCACAAAGTATGAATGTATTTCTTTGTTTAAAAGTTTGACACAGTTATTTGTCTGCTAGTCAAATACAGTAACTCATTAACTCCTGGAGTGTTCATGAATCTACGCCAGTGTCCTCCATCGCTGAGGGATTTGAACAGTGACTGTAATTTTGAGTGTTTTTCTGGACTGGAAGTGATCAGGGAATGCAATTAAACCTTAATGTTTTTGGTGCGAGATACTCGTGTGGGTAGGAGTCACTCTGTGTAGAAGAACAGAGGTAGATTCCCCCCCCCACTTGTCTAAGGCTGAAAGGAGTGGGCAGTCCCCCCCCCCCCCACACACACACACATATATATATGGCCATCTGTGGTGGACATTTTGGATTTTGACTTGGTAATCTAATTTTGATAGTGACCTTTATATTTACACCAAGATGTAGCCACACCAAAATGGAAGTCGCTTGCCAAGTTGTTTACTTTTCAAGTTACCCAGCTGACAAGGTTAACATATATAAATACTGTATATATGCAGCTTGATTTTTAACCAGTACAGGCAAAAGAGAGCACATTACACCAGTTTTGGCCTCACTGCACTGGTTACGGTTCACTTTTGAATCCAGTTCAAAATACTTATGTATGTCTACAAATCACTGAAAAGTGTCGCCCCCCCCTTATCTCTCTGATCTGCTACAACTGTATGTCCCACCACGTTCCCTGAGGTCAGTGGACCAGTTGCTCCTCACAGTTCCAGGAACTCGTCTTAAGCACAGAGGTGACAGGGCCTTCTCTGTAGCAGGACCAAGACTCTGGAACGAGTTACCTCTGCTTGTCAGACAGGCCCCCTCCCTCTCGGTTTTCAAGTCCCGTTTAAAAACTCACTACTATTCGGTGGCTTTCAACACCAGATGTTCATTGTTTTGAACCTGTATGCTCCACATTGGTTTGTCGTCATTACTACATCTGCATCGTTTTTTTGTCTATATTCTGATTTACTTCATTTTGTATTTTGCTTTGTGTGTTACTTGTTGTTCTGTCTGTACAGCACTTTGGTTGGCCTTGTCGCTGTTTTAAGTACTCTATAAATAAAATGGTATGGTATATAGTGGCAGCCATCTTGGATTTTGCTACGGCAAGCCAGTTATCTAAATGAAACTTTTTTACAACGAGATGTAACCACACGCCAAAATGGTTCTGTTTAAAAAAAGGTTGAATGAGTACCTTGCCTTTTTGTCAAGTTATCATGCTCAAAACATGCACGGATGGACAGACAGAGGGTAGAACTAATTCCCACTCTTCGTTTTGCAACGGGGGACAATTATTGGATATATTTGTAAACTGAGACATTTTTGGAGTTAAGGTTTTAAAGATTTAACCAAAACAAATATAACCATTACTTTTTCCTTAAGATGAGCTTAGTTTAAAAAATTGGCATGAAAAAGAAGGGAAGTATGCATTTCGTCAATGAATACTATTACTATTATTACTATTAATTACTATTAATACTATTCAATTGCTTACTAGTGTATCTTTCGGTGCAGAGTGTATCTCACCTCATCCAGGTTCATCTGATCCGGCTCATCCCAGGGATTCAAAAACTTGCCTCCTCTTTGTTTCTTCAGCGGTACCACCACCACGTAGTAACCCCTAAAACACACATTATGACCAGAGATCAAGCCTACAAACGTATGCCACATGTTATTGTGTTTTTAAAATGAGTCCGACTCTCAGCCCTGACTCTTACAGACTGGCCTGTAGAAGAACATTGATACCTAATGTAACATCTGTGTGGTAAATATACAGCTAAAGGCAGCAAGCATCGGAACAGCTTGAACAGGAAAGACACAGACTGTCACCACTGCAATAATCTCAAATAATTAGTATACTTTGTAATAAATATTACCTTTTACACTCCTAAGTGTTTTTCTCCCCCGCCAAAACACCTTTTTTGTCACTTTGCCAATCCAATTGTCATGATCTCTGCTCTCTGCCACGCCCACTTCTTCATCGCAATCACGCTCCATGGACCTGCTGTCTGCTCTATATAAGAGCTTCGTCCACGCTAAGTCCCTGCCAGATTATCCAACAGTTTTTATATTAGATGTCCAGCTTTTCATCTATGTCCACGCCTGATCTTCTTGACTCTACCTCACGCCTGTTTACTGGATTCTCTGTCCTGTCTGCCCCATGTCCGGTTTGTTCTGCCTTTCTGATTCTGGTAACTACGACTTTTTAATGCCCATCGGTTTTTGGATTAAGGATTCCCCTCTGGATTTATTCTCGGACCTCCCTGAGTTTGACCCTTGCTTCTCTTCTCGGACCACGATTAAAGTTTTCCCCTCTGTCGGATCAACTCACAGCATACAGGCCACCCTCTCCAGCTGCTTGCCCACCACCTATGGTGACGTTATTGTTACCAGCGACGCTGTCTCTCCAAGCTCTGGAAGTTGGCTCTGCCCCTCACCTCACCTGTCTGAGAAGGTTAGTGGCTGTCTCCTGCTTTTTATCCACGTTCTTTGAAACCTACAGCTACTAACGGTGTTGTCTCTGCAGACCAGTTCCTGTGACTGGACCCAGACTCACACCAGCAGCTTTAACATAATAAAATTGTTGAAATGCTCTTGGTGTCTGGCTGAACTCTTGAATTCAAAACCTGGTTCTTGTCACCAGCATTTTTTTTTCAACAAAATGACATAGTTCATGAGCAGCAGAAGTCTTCAGCCTTCTATTACAGCCTCTCGTTTGTTTTAATTAGCCGCCATCCAAAGGGGAAATGTGGGTGTTAACATTTATGCCTGTGTGTGTGGTAGTAGCTGAGTCATTTCCAACACTTACTTTGAGTGTGACATCATGTGATATCGCATTAAATTACGCATAGTAATTTTGAATGTTTGCTTAAAACAGCTAAAACTGTCATTCCAAGACGTTCCAACAACTTCTTATTTAAACACAAGGATGAGGCAGATCTTTCCATCTAACTGTTGGGAAAAAAATAATATAAATTCTGTACTGTCTATATGTTTTTATATGAAGTGGCAGCTGCTGTGAAACAGTGTGGCTTCTACAGACCGACATCTGCACGTGTTTGATATTTTCTGATGCCGCAGAGTCCAAAAACATTATCACTGGATCAGATCTCTGCTGATGAGCAACAAGCAATTCATTAAGGCACAGACATTAAAACCCTCCAGGAGCTCATGTGCTGATCAAAGAAATCAAAATCAGAAAGAACGAATCATGTGTAAAGTTCAGGAGTTTATTAAAGGCAAAATGTTGTTAGGTAGAAAATAAAAACTCTGCTTTGAAACATTTTTTATGAACAGACAGAAAAAAGGCTTTAGGAAATACATGAGCTGCGATGGGCTGACTCATCTTGTATTTTGAAGCTGTCGTAATACTTCTGAATGTACTCCAGGTTTGTTTTAGGTACAAAACTCAGAGTACAAGAACAGGTCTGTGCGTTCACTAGGCCTGTCACTAAATGAAAACAACCGTTGATAAAATCAAAGAACTGACCTCACAGAGTCTTTAAAACAACTGAACAGTCATCCGTTTTGCCCTCGACTCCTCACTAACCTGACTTTTGCTGTCGTCTGCACGGTTGGCAGCTGCACTGTCACCATGCCGTCTGCGTTGGTCTTCCCCACAACAACGGGTTTGGTTTTCAGGATGTCCGGGGCCGTTACGGCAGTGACGCGGTGCTGCAGGCCGCCGGCGCTGTTGGCCCGGTTAGTAAGCAAGAAAGAGTACTGGGTGTCCGGATCCAAACCAGTGATGAGCTTCTGTGTCTGTTTGCCGTCTACCTCCACAGACTGGCCCTTTCCATACAGGATCTGGGCAGAACAACATGTATGTTTGGGGTTTTAATAGGTGGAAACATTGAGACACAAATCAGCTGAATTACATCAATACCAAACACTTATTGATATCCACATTAAAACACTCTGTCCTCCAGCAGTCACATGCCCAAGTGTCCCTGGGCAAGACACTGAACCCCTTGTTGCCTCGGACACTAATCTTATTCTTCCTTGTCCATTCTTTTATCTACTCGTCGCCTCTCTCACATCCAGCAAACCTGACAGGTAACAGATCCCGATTACCATTTTTTCTGGCCTGCAGGGACTTTTCTTTCTTGAAAAGCCTCTTTGGGGATTGCTTTACAAAATTGACTGATTTAGAGCCAGAATAAGGCTAATGCTGCTGGATAACCGTGTTTAAAAGTTAGGTCCACTGAATGAAAGCACTGATTAGTCTCTTTATGATTTGTTCAATTAGCTTTGTAGAGGTCCAGTAGAGTGCTGTATGAATGGGTAAATGAGGCACAGATTGCAGTGTAAAGAGCTTTGAGAATCTTGATAAGATAGAAAGGTGCTATATAAGTACAGTCTATTTAGCATTTACCATCAGTTTTCTACCAGATGGTTACTTTAGTTTAGTCTGTAGATATATTTGATACAAACCAGGCCACAATCTATGTGTGCAACTTTTATTACCGGACACCAAACAATAATCACTGGATGTACATTTTATTTAAAACTGATCAACTACTGTGAGATTCTGCCTCAAGTGGAGGAGTTCAAGTATCTCTGGGTTTTGTTCATGAGTGAGGGAAGAATGGAGCGTGAGATTGACAGACGGATGATGTAGCGTCTGCAGTATTGCGGACTCTGTGCTGGTCCATTGTGGTGAAGAGGGAGCTGAGCTGTAAGGCAAAGCTCTCTGTTTACTGGTCGGTCTACGTTCCTACCCTCACCTATGGTCATGAGCTCTGGGTAGTGACGGAAATAATGAGATTGCGGATACAGGTGGTTGAAATGAGTTTCCTCTACAGAGTATCTGGATTCTCCCTTAGAGATAGGGTGAGAAGTTCAGTTATAAGGAGAGACTTGGAGTAGAACCGCTGCTCCTCCATATCGAGAGGAGCCAGTTGAGGTGGTTCAGGCATCTGGTAAGGATGCTCCCTGGGCGCCTCCCTAGGGAGGTGCTTTGGGCATGTCCAGCTGTGAGGAGACCCCTGGGAAGACCTAGGACATGCTGGAGAGACTATAAGTATCTCGGTTGGCCTGGGAACACCTTGATGTACTTCCAGAAGAGCTGGAAGAGGTGGCTGTGGAAACAGATGTTTGGGCCTCCCTGCTCAAGCTGCTGCCCCTGCAACCCGACTTCGAAACAAGAGGAAGATGATGGAAGGGTGGATGGATTACCTACTGGAGTCAACACCAGGGTTCCCAGTCTTTCATGAAAACTAAATTCCCTGGGTTTTCCCTAATTTTTCCCTGAATAAATCCTGAAATTCCAGGAAATATTTCAGTCATATGAAACACTCAGAACTTAAGTGTCTTAGGTGGTGGGAAAAGGATTTACTGTAGCAGGGAATTAGAATTTTACAGTAGCCTATGATACGAGCATCCGGCAATTATTCCTAATAAATAATTATATTGGATAACAACAGCCAAAGCAGATGGCCACTTGTCCTGAACCTGATTCTGCTGGAGGTTTCTTCATTTTAAAAGAGAGTTTTTCCTTTCCACTGTTGCCACTGTGCTTGCTCAGGATGGGAGACTGCAACGAAGCCAAGATTCAACTTGTCTGCTGCATTCCTTAGGTAGAGAACTTTACTAATTGGCTTTTATGTATGTGAATGTTTCTATAAAGTGCCCTGAGACAACTTTGTTGTGATATGGCACTATATAAATAAACTGAATTGAATTGAATATTAAAAAGCCACCATAGCCAGTCAGTAAGGAACAGTGAATATTTGTAGTTTTGGAGAGGAGTGTTTTTCTAATTGAACGGGGGATGCAGGTAAACCTTAAATGTTTTTGGTGCAAGACAGTTATGTAGGAGTTATCCTGTATGCAAAGATAGAGGTAGTATTTTTTTTCTTGTCTGAGGCAGTGAATGGAGGGCAATCTTATACTTTGTACATCATCTGGCCCATGGTGGTCTTAGCCACCATAGATTAATCTTTGGCCACCCTAGTCATTTGAGGAAACTATCCTTTTAAGCAATATAAAAATTAGAAGGTACAGTTTCATCCAATGATGGGGTGGACTGCATATAAATATGGCAGCACCCATCTCAGATTTTGACGTGGCAACTCAGTTTTCAAGAGGAACCTTTCTTATGCCTAGATGTAGCAACACACAAGAATGGAAGTCAGTACCTCACAGCTATCATTCAAGATATCGTGAACAAAAAAATGGATAGACAGCATTTCCAATTACCTGTCTTCTCTCCACAACAGGGGACAATAAAGGACAGTGTATTCTTTAGAGCTGGACTAACTTTTGATTGACAAGTCATATACAGTATTTCCATGATAAATGTCCAGCGTTTAAATCACACATTTTTCCAAATTAAGCTTGGTTTACAATGACTTTTTATTCTAGCAATAAATTAAAATTTTCTGATTGTAACTTTTAAAAATAGAGAAAAACAAACAGTACATTGAATCAAATGTTCACTTTTTGGCAGCTGACACATAAATGAAATTTCTTAAAGTACAAGCTCTTAATACAGCTCATTGGAAATGACGTACAGTGAACGGCTGGGCTGGGTTCTTGTCTCGAATCTCCCAGGAGAGCAGAACCGAGTTCTTCATGGCTGCCTTTACTCTGAAGTTGGTGGCAAAAACTGCAACACAGAACAGAAAAAAACAAAGAAAAGATAAAAGTATGTTATTTTCATGAGGCTCACTTGTTTCCTGCAGAATAAAACAGAATATTCTTACCTGTGTTTTATTCTCTAGAACCAGACTCAACATAACTTTTGATCTGACTATCAGACAGACTGAACTGACAGACACTTGCCCAGACCCATGAGTCTTACCTTGCTTTTTGGAATAGACTGGGTCTGAGGCTACACTGACAGGACAATGGAAAATGACACTTAGGATGCAGTTACTAGATGTTATATGTCTGTGTGTATGTGGGAACTTGTAGAGTACACAATCAAATGTTTCTGTAAGAAAGAGTGCCTTGCATCCAGAGTAAAGATGATGGGTTAAAAATGTGAGAGGGATCCTACCTTGGTCTAGCCGCTGCGTCCTGAACTGGACAGCGGGGCTGTAAGGCCCAGGACCGACAGCTGTGAACGCACACACCCTGACATCATACACTGTATCGGCACTCAGACCCTCCAGCAAAACACTGGACCTTTGAATGGGCACCACAACCTCTGAGGCGTTCCCTCGACTGTTTATGTCTTTATACAGCACAGAGTACTTAGCAATTTTCCCATTTTGCTCAATCAGAGGGACTGCTTTCCACGCCAGTTGGAGAGAAGTGTCAGACGCCTCCTCTAAGATAATATTTTCTGGGTATCCAGTTGGGGAATCTTCTGGAGTAGTCACCTCCTTTACAGACTCTTCTCCGTAGCCCATTTTGTTGTGAGCGGAGAGTCTGAACACGTAGTTAGCTCCTCTGTGGATGTCCTGCGCAGTGTAGCGGGTTTCTTTGGTGGGGAACTCAACAACTGTAAATGGAAGAACGTCAACACGGCCGAAGGTGAGGCGATATCCCAGGAGAGGTGTGGGCGGGTCGGGAGGGGGGTACCACTGTAGCACAGCAGTACCTGAATCAGTTGCACTGACCAACAGCTTTGGTTTCTCAGGCACTATTATGAGGAGAACGGTGAGAGTAGGAAGGAGAGAAGGGTGAAAAGAAAATTAGAGGGTAATTACAAATTACATTATGTATAACCTCAAGCAAACGTGGAACTACTGGCACTGCAGCGTGTGAAAGGGTGACTTGTGACTCATTCAGTAATTTAATGTGCTCCAATACCTATTGATGCTAAACATAAGTACTAGCAGATGCATTTGAGTTGTTTGTGCTTTTTTCAGTTTGTGCGGACACACTTACGAGGCAGGGCGGTGCATACAGTAACAGCTTTGCTGCGAGCACCATCACCCTTAGCAGTGTAAGCTCCCACTGACACAGAGTAGGCCGTGTCTGCCTTCAGCTCTCCAAGCACAACCTCCTAAACAACAAAACATCTATCAGCTACAAAAAGCAACAACTTTAGTGTATTCCTACTGAAGGGTTTCGTACTTCTGAGCGTTAAGTACGTGTGTAATTTACTGCACTTTGTGGTACTCAGCCAGAATATGACTTACAGTGAGTGTTTTTCTAAGATCAAGAATACAACATAAAGTACAAAGTGGACGTTTATGTCACGCAAAAAGTTCTTACTCCAGTTGATATTTTAAAGCTACCATCTCACGTGTCACTATGTTTGTATTTTTGTTATTGAATAATATTGTTAGCAAAATATTTACTCACATATTCAGTTGAGTCACCATATTCCCACTGGACAATGAAGCAGTACGGAAGGGAGAAATGACAGAAAGACAAATTAGAATATTCTTTATTTGTGCTATCAGTGAACATCCACATATGTCCTACAGTCCTGGAAATATCATAATAAACTGTCAACATTATAGAAGTTTTGCAAGTATCCTATTTAAAGATGAATTATTGTATTTAATAACATATTTATACTATTACTTAAATTACAGGTATCTCTTGTAAAGAGTCCCCGAGGCTCAATGGGATTAACCTGTATAAATAAAGTTTGAATAAAAAAAAAATACTACTACTAATTATATCATAAATGCTGATCCTAAAATATTTCTAAAATCAGAATGGTTTCAAATGCTCCCATTAAATCCCAGACACTTTACCACCCTTTGGCATTCCTTCTGCAAAATAACTGACTCGGCTGAAAAATGTGCCCCCCCCCCCCCCCCTTTTTGTAGCTACAATTTGTTATGGAGCCCAGTCTCTAATTTCATTCAACAGAGTTGTTGTGGTTTGGATGTTAAGAACCAATACACGATTATGTTGTGCATGAGTAAACATATGGTACAAAACAGTAGAACCACACGAACGTATATTGAACAATCATCCACGCATGCCCGGAGTCGGCTGCTTGATATCTGACTGCGGCCTCCTCGTGATGGCCTGAACGAAAACAAGACCTCACTGGAAGATTATCTGGCCTGCTGGAGCCTGGACTATCTGGTTCAGCAAAAGTAAAAACAAAACCTGCTGGCATTGTGCATGAGTAAAGTAAAAAACAAACATACAAAAACACTACACATATATATAAAAGCTCTATGGCCAACAACAGCCAACTCGTACAGGTTTGATTGAAAACAGGTCTTTCTTGTGGGCTAGTGGATCTAAAATCAAACTCTGAATGGATGTTTTTTAATTTTAAATTATTTTAAATTATTTTTGTGGGCATCCTAATGGGAAAAAAACAACAAAAACCCATCCATCCCCATGTCCAGCAATCACTGTGCGTGGGGCGGGGTACACCCTGGACAGGTCTCCAGTCCATCACAGGGCCACATAGAGACAAACGAGACAAATTCACTCTCTCACTCACACCTAGGAACAATTCAGAGTTACCAATCAGCCTAACATGCATGTTTTTGGTCTGTGGGAGGAAATCAGAGTACCCGGAAAAACTCACACATGCACGGAGAGAACATGCAAACTCCACCCAGAAAGGCCCCTGGACCGGGATTTGAACCGGGGACCTGCTCGCTGAGAAGCAGCAGCTCTACCAGTTGTGCCACCATGCTGCCCGGAGCTAACATAATAATTATAATAAAAACAGAAGCGTTTAAATTTTATATTATTAGTTCAGGCCAAGATAACTTTAAAAGGCTGACTAGGGTGGACAAAAACCAAACCAAAACAAAAAGCTGTATTTTTGGTCAGTTATGAAAGGTGGTCAATATTCCCCCTAAGGAGCACTCATAGTCTTCAAGTATAAGGACTTATAAAGAGTTAACTTCCACGTTTTTGAATATTTGTTTGTGCTACATAACCCTGTCCTGGATGCTACAAAAAAGTGGATTTATGAGTTTAATTTAGCAGTAGCTCAAAGTGCTAACACTGCTAGCTGCTAATACAACTGATTGATCACGTAAAACATTGTTAGAGTTACCTGAGAGTCATCAATGAGGATGTCTTTGATGAGGGGCTGACCCTGAGGTTCACCGTAGTTCATCCTCACATAATGGATTTGGTAGCCTCGGACCTGACCGTGCTGTAGTTCGGGTGCCGGTGCTCGCCATGTCACCCTAACAGCCGAGGCATTCACTGTCTCTGCTTCAACCAATCGTGGAGGACCACTTGGAACTAAAAATGCATTTTGGAACAGAGGTCAGAAGTCATAGGTGATGGGCAATCAAAAACTATTGTAAACGCATGTCCTATCAAAAAAAAAAAAAAAAGGCGGGAGGTTTAAAAAACACCCAAAAGCTGAAAAAATAAAAATGTACCACCTCCAAAAAGCCTTAAACTGTTCTGATGTCTGAAGAAAAGTCAAAACAGTTCAACTTGAGAGTGCTTGAAGAAAAAAAAAAGCATAAAAGGAACAAAGCTGTGAAGTACAGGAGGCTAATGTAGAGCGAGGTTTTACTGGAAGATAGTCAAAGGCTTTATCGCCAAAGGCAGATAAAACGTAGGACTCAGTCAAAAAGAAAATACTGTTATCACGAACGACCTCTCTGAGGCAGACAAAAACTTGACTTTACCTTAAAGAAACAAAAACAAAACCCAAGCCACTTTCTGCTCTCTGACTGACTCCTACAAACAGTCTAAGGAAGGAGAGCCAGAAAACAATGTCTTTACAAATAAAATTAGACGATTGGCCGCAAAAATACAAAAAAAAAACCTTTTTAGTCGTATTCAAAATAGCATAAAAATGCACGGACTAAAGTGAAATAAACATTTGAAAAATAATAAAATAGGTCTGTAAAAGTGGAAAAGCAAAGGCAAGGAAAAATTTAGCTGGAGCTTGTCGTGCTGTTAGTAAGGATTGGTTATCTCTGAACAGGAAAACCTAAAGAATTTCTTATCCCACAAAGAAGAGACGGGAAAAAAACTGCTTGTACAATAGGAGGAACAAACAGCTGCTGGGAAAAAATGGTCTGTTGTGAGTGGTGAGGGAAAGGCATAAGGAGACTGCCTGATTTTGGAGGTTTGTAGGGGATTGGAAGGGAAAGAAGGAACGGAAGATGCAAAAGTTCCCAAATGCATCATTTATTTACACTGTAGTTCAAGGGAGGAGGAGATGCCTTCACTGGCCAGTGGAACAAGCCGGCTGTTGGGTTAGGGTGTTTTGGGATCATTAATTCTGTTAGTGGGTTAGAGGTTGCCATTGTTAGTGGGGTAGGCTATCCTAAGAGGAGCATAGAGTTGTTTTGCAACGTACCATCTTCCTCCGTGCGGATAAGCAGTTGCAAACTTTCCGGTCCATCTCCAGCTTCTGTGCGTGCCCGAACCATTATGCCATACTCAGTCCATTTCTCAAGGTTTTCCAGGAGATATGAAGAACTTCCAGGAGGAATGTCATCAACTCTTTTAAACGTTTTGTTCCCCTCCGTGGTCGAGTACTGAATGGAGTATCCCGATATGACGCCGTTCTGAAACTCCAGGGGTGGTGGAGCCCAACTTACCAGGAGGCTGGTGGAACTGGGACTGGTGCATGTGATGTCCTGGGGAGGTGCTGAAGGAACTGATCGGCCAGTTTTGAGGAGGCGCGGCAAAGGGGTCGTTTGGGTAAATGTTATTTGTTGTGTGTGCACGTGGTTTGTGGTGCATGAAGGCAGGGTCAGTAAATCAGGTGTGCCATGGAAAGATGGAGGATGAAAATGGAGCAGATGAGAAACAAGAGAACAAAAGACAAAAAACATAAAATGAAAACAAAACACTGGAGAACAGAAAGCCTTTATGTGTGAAAAATGATCCTGTGACTAGAAACCAAGATTGCTGAACAAAGATACTGAATGATGGGTGTCACATCTGTTTGATTTAAGTGCTCAGATTAATGAAAACAAGTGAATGACTTAAAAAGAACAACACAAAAACACCAAATAGAGCTGTTGTACACAAAATTACCTGCTCAGCCTACTGAAGCTTCTGTGATCCACGAGGAACTTCTCATTTCTAGTAGCAATGTCTGGTCCTTACCTTGGCTTGGCTGAATCTCAGACAGGTCTCAGATTGATCATCAACAAATATGGTTTGGTTTTAATTGATAATTAAACTTTTGGTGCTACACATCCACCAGCCACAAAACAAAACTGCAATCATTCGATGATAAATGTTGGTTTGGAGGATCTGCGTGGAGGTAATGTGACATGAAACCCCCCAACTAAACACTACGGCAATATAAAAAACTGACTTTAAGTGAGGACAGAACTATTTTAATATAATAAAGAAGATATTAAAGCAAGTGGCTGATATCCCCCCCCCCCCCCCCTTCTTTATACCACCACAGACTTCACAATAATTAGGGGAATTAAAAGCAGTTTAAAACTATTAGAATAGATCAGAAAAACTCAAGATTAAACATTTCAGCTTTTAGAGTCTGATCATAACTTTTATCTTTTCATATATTATAAAATGTATTATTATAAAATGTATTTGTTTTCGTTTTTTATCCGTTTAACTGAATGTTGAATTAAGTTGAGGATTGATTTGCTTTTGCATTACGCTAAAAGAGTAACTGACTAAACCTTTATATCTCCCAGGTAAAGGTGAATAACAACATAATATGCATGACCTAGAATAAAGTTCTGCGAGCTGTGCACAAAAACTAGTCCTAATAAAAAAAAGTAATGGGGTACACCCTGGACAGATTAAAAACCTGCCTGTCCAATACATGGCTGCGCTGCAACAGAAAATTGGCATATTTTCTCATAATTTGAGTTGCCAAATAGTTGCCAACAGTTGCAGCTCAGTGAAATAGTACCTACATAGACACAAGCTCACTCTCTAAGTCTATCTGTCTTAAGGGGGCCACACCCCTTTTTATTTGTATCATATTAATGCATTTCAATGCAAAGCAACATGCGTGACATGTGGGTTGAGTCCTGATCGATTAGTTTGGTCCAGATCAGTTTTAGAGTCTGGACTTTGAGAATTATTGCCCTGCACTTTTGCATTTTTTTAAAAATGCAAGAAGGCGAATAAGTAGAGCTGTTTGACCATTGAAACAATTTTCAGGGGCACATCTCTAACAAGGAGTGGCATTAGTGCAATTATTGGTGCAGTTATCCTTAATATTTGTAGAAAAAACAAAGACAGCATTGTATTTTTTTGGTAAAACCTTTTTTTTTTTTTACCATCATAACAATTTCAATGGTCAGTTTAGTACAATCAAAATCTTTACTTTATATTTTCTCACTGAACTTCCTTAACAGGCATAAAGAATAATGTCCTAAGCCTATGATGGGAGTCCTTTTCAGCTAACTGGTATACACACCATATATACCGTAATTTCAGGACTATTGAGCGCACCTGAATATAAGCCACACCCACTAAATAAAAAAATAAAACATTTTTGTATATGCCTAGGCCACATTTGGGGGCCAAGATGGTGTAGGAGCAGGGCAGCTGACTCGGGTATACGGCAATGACCCAGGTTTGATCTCGGGTCATTGCACATCTCGTGGTGTCTCTGAGCAGGACACCCTATCCCCAGTGTCTCCCCGGGCGCTTTCTATAGCTGCCCACCGCTCCAGCTGGTGGTGGATGGGTTAAAAGCAGAGAGCCAAATTCGCCATTGTATGGGAATGTACAATGATGACAATACATAACACTTTATTACTGTATTATTATAATTATCTTTACGCAGTGGATGTTCATGTTGTAACACATTTATTTATTTATTTATTTTGTATTTACACAGAATTATTATTATTTTTACTTTAAATTTAATAAGTACGTATCATACAAAAATACGTACAGTAAATATTTTATGCTGAACAGTGCCTATAACACGGCTGGTTAAAAAAAATTATAAATACAAACACAAATACAAATCCACTGGCAGACTTGAGCAAAAGTTGTTCTTAGCATGCGGCCAGTTTTGGTAAGCGATTACTCGCAGCCAGTCATCCCATCGAGCTCCAAGTGCCACATTAATGCACAAGTCACACTTATTTCGAGTGGCTGCAAATACTTTGTTCCTTCTAGTGCCCCTCCCTATTGCGTCCCCACGGAGGGGCACAACAGGGAGGGGAGGAGAGAACAGTTCTTTCTATCCCCCCTCCCTTGGACCAGTGAAACCAAGTTTCATTGGTCCACTGTGACCTGTTTGGTAATTTCATTGGTCAGACTTTTTTTTTTAACCGTTATTTATACAGGTAGTCTCAATGAGTCCCAAGGACCCACCCACAAGAGAGATGAGTATTGAGCAGCTACGTGAGCGCCCGGGTGTGACAAGACTAAATGTATGAAATGGAAAGCATGAAACTCGTTAGCCCATCAAAAGTAAAAATATAAAAAAAATCCATAAATTAGTCGCAGCATCGTTTAAGCTGTGGTGCTCAAAGCTTGTGAAAGTAGTAGCAGCTTATAGTCCGGAAATTACGGTAAACACACTGACTGGTTTATATACCTATAAGAAGCTGGTGACAGCTGGTACCTTATCGGCCTTTTGAAGGTGTGTAGCATTTTGTTGAGAACTATACCCCTTGTGATTTGAATAAAGGGCCAAGAGTAGGTGTAGAGTGAACATTTGAAATAAAATTAGATCAAAATCTAAGGCCAATAAATGAATTAATAAATGAGTAAAATATTTGTTGAAGCATCAATCTTGAGGTTCGTTAAGGTCTGTTACACCGATGGTTGTTTTTTTGACAATGCAACAAAAGCAGCTTGAAAATTCAACTAACGACGTTCAGATTTTGACCACACAGATTTTAAAGAATAATACTTGTTTGGTTTTCAGTGCTTGCATTGTCAAAACTGAAACCTGCTTTTCTCTTTCTTTCCACCCCCTCCTCCGCACACACACACTGCACACACACATCGCAGCCGGCCGTGTGCCTCGGTACACCTACGTGTCTGTGGAGTGTCAATGGACACTTCATTGGTGTACGCCCCGATTCCATTTTTGCTCTTGGCAGCCAGCTGGAAAGTGTAGGCGGAGAAGGGCTTCAGGTTCTTCAACAGGTAGGAGGTGGACGGCTCAAAGCTAATTTTTTTCTGAAGAGAGGCAAAAACAGGAAGGAGATCCAGATGATTTTATCTTCTGTCAGCTCTCCCCTTGTTCCACGCACACATCCAGGTTTTCACATGTTACCAACCGTCCAACCACTCATGTATTGTGAAAACCCACTTCCGTCATCCTCACCTCTGTGTCGTCAGCTCTTCGATAAACCAGCTCGTACCCTGTGATCTGGCTTTCTGGACCTCCCTGGGTTGAAGGGGCCACCCAGGACAACAGGATACTGGTTTCAGACTTTGCTTCACCCTTAAAGTCCAAAGGCTGTGATGGAACTAAAGATGGATCAGTTAAAAACAAGTTAGACTGCTCATTTAATATATTTCTGCCTGAACCTTTCATTGTCTCTTGTATTTCACCTCCAGTCTTGGCGATAATCTGCAGGTCCTGGGACAAGGGTCCGTCTCCGACAGAGGTGAAGGCCAGCACACGGATGTAATAAGTCTTGTTAGGAGTCAGATCCTGGATGGTGATGAAGCTGGCGCTGCGCACCATCTGCTTCTCCCACTGCACAACAGGGCACACAACACATCAGTGGACTCGCATGTATGAATTCATGTTTTGAACATAAAGACAACATTGTTTATCAAATAAAAATAAAGGCAGCAATGAAACACACCTGGTTGACAGGCAGCGTGTTGTCAGAGGTGTAGTACACTCTGTACCCGACCACCTGACCGTTCGGTTCCTCAGGCTCATCCCAGTGTATCATAGCTGTTGTGGCGCTCAGCATCCGACCTATGACCTGCAGGGAAAATGTACAATAAATTATCAAAACGTACCACAATAAAACCAGAACTGACAAACAACAAAGTGCTGAAAGATAAAACCTGATCTCCATTCTTAGACCCAAATCCATTTGATGGTGAAAATTGATTTCAGATCAATGTGTCATCCTGACCTGTCGAGGAGGTGAGGAGGGAGCCTGCTCAGCCGTGCGAGCCTCCACCACCTCGCTGGAGGGACCCTGTCCGATGGTGTTGACAGCCGCCACCCGAAAGTCATAGTGGGAGTACGGGCTGAGGCCCCCCACGCTGTAGCGCGTCGTGGCAATGCCATCAATCTCTTTGTAAGGGTCCTCGGAGCCTTTGGGGCGGTGCTGGAGAAGGCAAGACAGGACAAGGTGAGGAGGGGTAAACTGAGTTTGCACCAACAGTAACTTTTCAGGTTTAAAGGGATAATTCAAATCTTTTGAAGAAGGTTTCTGTGGAACAGTTTAGATCAGGGCTATTCAACTAAACTGCTCAGGGGGCCACGGTTTCTGAAAGCCAACAGCTCAGGGGCCGGACATCCAGCGATTAAAATCATTATGTAAATAAACCAAACTTTACAATGATCTGTTACCTTTTAAAGTTATTTATTTTATTGCATTGAATCATAAGTGCAATAAACAGAAGCTAAAACCCAAACTCAGAACCACTCCCCCCAATTTCTTTTAATGAAGTGGGCCGGATTGAAGTCACCCGCAGGCCTGAAATGGCCCGCGGACTGCCAGTTGAATAGCCCTGGTTTAGAAGAATTATTATCCAACCTGTTGAACAACCTCATTTAGGCAAAACTGAGATTATTTCTGAATGGATTGCTAAAGTAGCAGCTAGTCCGAGTGGGACCAAGACCAAAGTGTACTGCTGCCATCTTTAAACAGGCCCGTTTTTTTTAAATATATTTTTTTAATTTCTTAATTTTTGCATAGATATGTTATTTTATACACCTTTATACCACTGTTTATTTACACGGTTATTCTAGCAGAAATGCTGTGATACTCCTGCGAGAGGCTGGACTAGAAGAGCTACATCTAGCTGCTGCTGCTGCTACTTGTGTTAAATAATAATTTCATAAAAAAAAAAACTGCATTCACTTTTCATTCAACCTTTATTTAGACAGGTTAATCTCACTTGAACCGCTATGAAAGTTTAGAGTCTAGAGTTGTTTTAAAACCACAATCATTCTGCGTAAACTAGCTGTTAGCTGGTCACTCTGGTCAGAATTAAACTCTATTTCTCTAAACTCAGGTTGTTCAAAGAGCAATCTAGAAACAGGTAAAATATTAATATACATATATATGTATATGCACACACATGTATAT